TACAAACCCTGAGAGCTGAGAGGCGAGGCAAGCGCGTGCAAAAAAGAGGAGTTCCCTGACCTACCAGCTCAACACTCCTGCTTGGCCCAGGACAAGAGAAAAGTCGGCTCACTCATTAACTAGAACTGCCGGAAGCAAAATTCAGACTCTGCAAGGAGGAAAAACCCTGTGAACTTTCTGCTGATGGTGTCCTCCTGACTCAGACCTTAGCACCAGCTTATTCCATTCTGTTGTTTGCTGGAAGAATGCTGCACTAATAAACCCTCACTTTCATGGGGTGCATGAAGGGATCTGAGATGGGGTCAGCCCTCCCCCCACTTGTGTTCAATGTGAATGGGAAACAGTGAAGTAGTAATAAAGGAGCCCTTCTGAGCATATGCAGAGTGTTCCAGCTGCTGCTTCATCTCTAGGGCTGTCAACTCCAGCTTGGGAATTTCCTGGCGATTTGGGGGTGGAGCCTGGGAACGGGAAGAAGCGGAGGAGGAGGTTGGATTTATGCCCTGCCCTTCACTCGGAGTCTCAGAGGGGCTCACAAACTCCTTTCCCTTCCCCTCCCCACAACAGACACCCTGTGAGGTAGGTGGGGCTGAGAGAGCTCTTTCGAGGACTGCCCCTGAGAGAACAGCTCTGAGAGAACTTGTGACTGACCCAAGGTCACACCAGCAGCTGCGAGTGGAGGAGTGGGGAATCAGAGCCGGTTCTCCCAGATCAGAGTCCGCGCTCCTGACCACGACACCAGACTGGGATGGTGATGCATTGGAGTCCACCTGCTGAAGCCGCCATTCCCTCCAGGGGAACTGATCTCTGGAGATCAGTTGTGATTCCTGGAGATCTCCAGCTCTCACCTGGAGGTTGGCAACCTAGTTTATCTCAGCACGGACAATGAGGCTGGAAGGGCCCTGCCCTTGGATTAGGATCCAACTGGCAGTTCTCCTAAGCACGCTAGACTCACTGTTGCCTTGTGACTACATTGATATGGAATGAGTAATACAGGTGGAATAGGACACTGGAAAGGGTTTTAGGGTTTCTGGCAGCTCTATGGCCTCGTCTGATCATGTCGTTAAATTATTTTTGCCTGTGGTAGAGATTTAGGAAAAGATCAAATTGCAAAAACATCCCAGTGTATTTTAAGAGTTTCCTTCCTTTCTTATGTTAAAAAGCCACGTGGACTGAAACAGAGCAACCAAACTTATATTATCCAGAACAAAGTTGCAAAAAACTTCGCCATTCGAAAACTGACATCAGAATTGAAATCCAAAAGAAGCCAGATAATCAGATTCAACAGCCACACGAGCATCAGAAATAGATGAAAAGGGGGGGGGGGCGAATTTATTCCTAGCTTCCGTTCTCAGAGAGCAACCAAAGACAACGTGAGCTACGGTCTTGATCCTACTTGTGGAACAGTGGCTGATTCTATCTGAATAAGGCCTCTCTGAATATCTCTCACTTAACACCGCAGAAGGTTAGAAGTCCATGTGTGCCAACATAAAGGCATAGAACAAATTGAGAGTCCAGTGGGGGCACCTTTAAGACCAACAAAGGTTTATTCAAGGCATGAGCTTTCGTGTGCAAAGCACACTTCCTCAGATACAGTGGAATGGGAGGTGAGGCTCAAACTTATAGATGGTTGGAACAGCAAATTAACATGTAACATGATGAAGATGTTCTAAGCTATACCTGGATCTAACACAAAGGCTTGCTGCAGTTTTGGAACCTTCAACTTATAAAAATATGGTGGTATTTTCCGATGGAAGGACAGTCCAAGTGCAGTGGGAGAACTTGTCAAGCACGTAAATATGTATCACAGTCCAATTCTGTGGTACAGTCCATTGTTAATTTATACACCTCATTGGTAGGTAGGCTCATAATGGTGTCTTTCGGCAAGTTTAAGGTGAGTTTAAGAGAGTTGGTTGAGTTTATTTAAAAATAACTCACATCCTCTGGAAATGTTAATATGCGCAGAAAGAAAATTTCTCCACCCTGTGCATAATTTACCACAAATTCAGAGTCCAACGGGGCACCTTTAAGACCAACAAAAGTTTATTCAAGGTATGAGCTTTTGTGTGCAAGGCCCACTTTGTCAAATACAATGGAACAGGGCCGTAGCCAGGATTTTTGACTTTGGGGAGCATTTAAATAAGTCGGGGGGGCACTGTGTCAGGAGCAACGAGAGTAAAAGTTCTTAAAAAGCAATGGGGGGGGGGCTGGAGTAGGGATCTGATGTGCCCTGTGGCATGCCCTTCCTGCAGCCAGCCAGAGGTACACTGCCGGTAGGCAGGACACGGCAATGTCTTGGCCCGACATGGCCATGGTATGCGCGAAAAATAAAATAAAATAAACCAGCTGGATGGGAAGTTGGAAGGCCTGGGTGGTAGGTCAGGGGGGCCGGCCCCGAGATGACCCCTTGTAGCCACAGGCCTGCAATGGAGCGGGCGGTAAGGTTCAGACTTCTAGATCTTACCTGCCATCCCATTGTATTTGAAACAGTGTGCCTTGCACATGAAAGCTCATGACCTGAATAAGCCTTTGTTGGTCTTAAAGGTGCCCCCACTGGACTCTCAATTTGTTCTACTGCTTCAGACCAACATGGCTGACCACCTGGATCTATAATTTATCACGTTTCGGTTGTATCACAATAAAGGTGTGGTTTGAACGAGGTTCCCCCGCCTGCCCCGATTCCAGTCCAGCTCTTTGTCCGCTTGAGCTCACCGGCAGTCCCCCTTCTTCCTAAATACTGTGCTGTTTATCTTATATTTTAAAAATACATTTCTGTACTTCTGCGTGCCTCTGCTGATAACAGCATAGGATATTTACTCAAGGGGCCATTCTTCTTAATCCAACAAAAACTTCCCAATCTGTCTGCCTTTTCCTTAAACAAGAGTGACATATCAGATAAAGATTTAAAAACACACACACAAGTAAACACACACTCCGTAGAGACTCATTTATCTAATGCAAGGGTGGCCGGCTGCTCCGGGGGAACCAGATTTGTCATCGACAGGAAAACTGTCCACTTCCCAACTGCAATCCCAGCTTTCAAATTAAGACGCAGTGAACAGGTTTTCGGCTTGGGTTCTGAGCCAACGAGCCAGTGGGGACCTCGCATTGACGTGACCACTCTTCTGTGCCTTGTTCCAGCTATTTCCAAATTCTGGGGTTGGCTCCGAGAAGTAGTACGGTGCTCCCTGAGGATATTTTGAATGACCCCTTGAAACCTCCACCCTCCAGTTTCAGCCTCAGGATATGAAAGTCCCACAGCACAAATCAAATAATTGCTCATTGCTATTTTATACTCACACACAAAAAACCCGTTTATTGGCATGAAAGCACAAAACATCATGGAAATATGGGGAAATACTAAGATGCATCAGTCACTTACACTTGGCTATTCAAGCCTCGTCTTCTGATTGCAGGTTGGGGACTTTTGACATGGGCTCTACTGCGAAGTATCTGTCAAGTTTAACCGCCCCACATCATCGCAGAGCATACATGCTTGCACACTTTCATGTTCTGCCATCAGAGGTGCTTTTAGGGAGGTACCGCCAGATACCCTATGCAGACAGACTTTGTCCTTGCTCTCTAAAAGATATAGAATCCACTACACACACCATGCTTCATTGCCCCTCTATAGGGATATCCGATCTCGTTTTATTGCTCCATTCCTAGAGGGTAAGAACTGGCACTCTGATGACTCAATTGTTCACTTTCTTCTGTTTAATTCTAATTGCGAAATAATGGAGGCTGTTGCTATTTTATACTAAATTGCCTATAACAGAATCCTTTATCCCCTAATAATAATACTACTCCTTTTCTTAGCCAAACGATTTTTTCTAGATTCGCCCCTGCCAAGTACACCTTCCTCATACCTTGTTGGAATTCTGACAGCTTAGTAAATCTGCTGGCGGTGAGTTTCGGATGCCATCTGAGCTGCCACAAGAAGGTCACTTTGACAAGACAGACATTTGATCCTCAAATCACTTCTGGGGGACAGAGTGACCCCAACGGCCTGCGAGTGCCCTTCCCCCAATTCACTCTTCCCAGTCAAGAACTGACAAGGTCTCAACCAGTGTTCCCTCTAAGCCGAGTTAGTGTGAGTTAGCTCACTTTTTTTTAGCCTCTGGCTCACACAATTTTGTCTTAGCTCAGGAAGGAGGGCTCCAGAGCAAACTACTTTATGCAGAAGCCAAATTGCTCGCTCACAACTTTAATGCCAGGTACTCACAAAGTAGAATTTTTGCTCACAAGACTCCACAGCTTAGAGGGAGCGTTGATCTCAACTAACGGTATCCCAAGCAAATGTGTGAGCCGGAGGGGTGTAGTGGTATGACTCCCCTACTACTGGGGAGACTTGGGTTCAAGACACCATGAAGGTCCCTGAGACCAGTTGCTCTTGCTCACTCTAAACTACCTCACAGGGTTGTCGTAAACATAAAAGATAAGAGGAGAGAACTGCAGATGCCTCCTGGAGGAAGGACAGGATAAAAACATGACGGTTTCCATTTGGGGTGATGGGACCAGAGAAGGCGAGCAGGAGATGCAATCGCACCCTTTCCACTTTCTTCAGAGAGAACCTGATACCAGGTCACGCCACCAAAGCACAACACAAATATCGGGGGAAACAAAACGGCCACAAAATGTATACGCCATCCAATCAGTGTGACTTGCTTCGATAGCAGTTCGGCCAAAAAGCGTTTCTAATTATCCCTATAGCTAAAAACAAAAACGAAACCCAACCTTGTTTGAAATCTGAATAAGCCACAGGAATAGAATTCAATAGGCAAGCAAAGCAAAGGAAAAGCAATCCACTAAACCAGGAGAAAATACAGAATACAAAATTAAACTATTGGGGAAGGTGTCCCCCCCCCACACACACCACTTTAATGTGCAGCCCTGCAGCAGCATTGGTTGATGGCACTTTGAGGCAAGCCGCAGGGTTTTCCAAGGAGCCGGTCCTAAAAGAAAGGCGCTTATGAGGCTGAGCATCCCCCGGAGGAACTTACCCTCGGAAGCAGCTGCAGCGCTGTAGAGGGAGAAGAGGACCAGGCACTGAAACAGTCCCATCCTCTCTGGCTCTTCCAGATGCACTGGGAGGAGGTGGCATTGATTTACGGTGCTGTGTGCACGATCTGACCTGCCCCGGAGTTTTTATACAGGAGAAGGACAATCCTGGTCACCTCTCCTGGCTGGCCCATGGCAGGAAGGTGGAGTCTCCTCCCCTTTTTAATTCCTCCAGCTATAAACTGCAGTAATGATTCTCTCTCTCTCCCTCTCCCCCCTGCCCCCCCTTTTCAAATGGCTTAACTTCCTCCACACCTCTGAATGCTGTAAAAGAGAACCCGATTGTCCTTTTACGGCCCTGTAGACTGAATTGAGCAGATGACTAGTAAATTATTACTTATGTTACACACTCTCTCTCTCTCTCTCTCTCCCCCTCCCTCCCCACCCCCATTATCATTCTTGAACTAGGGTTATTGGAAGATAAGTGAAACTGAAGTGTAGTGGGTTAGACACATGTAAAAAGGTAAAGGTAAAGATTCCCTTTCTCGAAAGCCAGTCGAATCCGACTCTAGAGTTGCGGTGCTCATCTCCGTTTCAAAGCCTTAGAGCCAGCGCTGTCCGAAGACATTTCCGTAGTCACGTGGCCGGCATGACTAAACACCAAGGCGCACGGAACGCTGTTACCTCCCCACCGAAGTGGTACCTATTTATCTACTTGCAATTTCTTGCTTTCAAACTGCTAGGTTGGCATGTAGAAACCACTAATACGGATGTAGTGATCAGCATGGTTTACTGGTACACAACAAAGACAAAAACTACTGGCCGGCTGGCCAACTATATACACACCTGGGGACACTCCCCTAGGTCCCGTTGGTGGGTTTAAATCTCCCGCCACGGTCCCATTGGTTCCCCAGTGGAGGGACTAGGAGCCTAGTTCCCATTGTTCCTGCAGAGTCAAGCTCGGAGGTATTCACTGGCCCCTGGTGGCGGTCAGGGGACATAATAGAAACCATCTTTGGATTAATTTCTTGTCTCTTCTGGCCGGATCGTTCCAACCACCTTCCATTTAACTGGAACCTCGTCTCCAGAATGCGAGAAAAGGGTGGCCCGAAAGAATCAATGGGTTGCAAAATCATCTCTTTGGGAAAGGTGAAAAAGTTTGAAGGCTTTTTGCTATTGGGGGGGGGGAAAGGTAAGTAAAGGAGGAGATGATAGACGTTTATGAAGTTCTGCATAGTATATATTGAATTGTGGCTTTTTGTCTCTCTCCCGTATTGCACACAGAACCCAATGAAGCTGATGGGCAAGAGATTCAGTACAGATGTTTGTGAATGTGGTGTGAACACTGAAAACACTATATAAATGCTAAGTATTATTATTATTACGGCTAAACAGAACCTCCATGTTTGAAGGCAGTGGACCTCTGAATGCTGTGGACGGCTTTGGCCTCTGTGCCCTCCCCCAAAGCATCTGAATGGCCACTAGGAGAACTGGATTTTAGGGTTTAATTCTAAGCTAGAACCCCCTGCCCCAGAAGCCCGTTCCCCGCCGCCGGTGGATCGGGCCCCCGGGGGAACTCCACCCCGACATGCGTGATGCGACCACGCCGGGCACGCTGGGGGCGGGGCCATGGCAATCCGAGGGAAAACTCTATGGTTTTCCCTCGTATGGCCATGGCCCCGCCCCCAGCGTGCCTGCCATCGTTACGTCACTTCCGACGTTGGCTGGGAGCCCCCCACTCCGGCAGAAGATCGACTTGGCAACCCTTTTCTAAGCTCTCCCCCAGCCCCGTACTGCTCAAGCAGTCATCATACTCCCCTGAATTTGTGTAACCCAAAAAAAATAGATGAGACAGAAGGGAATATTAGAATGAGCCAGGAAAAGACGCTGATCGAGAGACCCAAAGGAAAACAACAGAGCAAGAAGGAAAGGAGAAAAGAATCAGAATGGTTGTGGAAATGAGAAAAGGAAAACGCAGAGAGGGAGCAGTCAAAATGGAGGCCCCTTCGGGAAAAACAGGAAAAGGGACACACACACACACCCCAGTTAGGGCTGCCAGACTCCGGGTAGCTTTTGGAGATCTCCTACTGTTACAATTGATTCCCAGATGACCAGGATCAGTTCCCCTGGAGAAAATGGCTGCTTTGGAGGGTGGGCTCCATGGCGTTAGACCATGATGAGGTCTCTCCCCTTCCCCAAACCTGCCCTTCCCAGGATCCCCCCCCCAAATCTCCAGGTATTTCCCAGCCCAGAGGTGGCAACCCTCACTCCTGTGTTATTGACAGTCCTGAGTTTGTCTGGAGCCCTTACAGTTGCCAACTCTGGGGTGCGAAATTCGTGGAGATTTGGGAGCAGAGCCAGGGGAGGGGCCTCAGATAGGTGTAATGCCAGAGAGCCCCCCCCCCTCAAAAGGAGAGCTGATCTTGGTTGTGTGGAGATCAGGTGTTTATTCCAGGAAATCTTCAGGCCCCAACTGGAGGTTGGCAACCCTAGGAGCCAACCCACCTGTGCCATGGCAGCTTGCTGGGTGGCCTTGGGCCCTTCACAAACATTCAGCCTAACCTACCTCACAGGGTTGTTGTGGGGATAACAAGAGGCGAGAGGAGAATAACACAAGCAGCTTTGGGTCCCCACGAGGGAGAAATGCGGGTTATAAATTAAGTAAATAAAAATAAGGAAAATGAAGTTGGGGCCATCTGGGCTGACCTGCCCAGCAATGGTGGATCCCCCTCATCTGTAATACAGAACGTGAGACTGCATAATGTAAAACCACTCTGGATGTAAAACTGGAGAGCCAGTTTGGTGTAGCGGTTGAGTGCGTGGACTCTAATCTGGGAGAACGGGGTTTGATTCCCCACTCCTCCACTTGCACCTGCTG